CCAGGATCCTCTATTGTGATTAACCAGACCTCTGGCCATCCAAGGAAGTACCCGGGAATCATCCCCAGACTCCTCCATCTCCCGCAGCCCTTATACGGGATCAGCCGTTCACTCTGCCAATGTATTCCTAACTATTCCTTTCTAGCCATCGTCATTTACTTTGAACACTCACAGCAGCCTCCCCACTGGTGTGCCTTTTCTATGATAGTCTCTCATCACACCTTCCCCCCATGTCAGCACACATCTCTCCATCACTCCCCTCCACACAGGAAAGATCAAACTCTCAGTGCCACCAACAAGGCCCTCCATGAAGTCTCTCCAATGGTCGCTCACCCCACCTCTCAGCACTCCCGGCTTTGCATATTAGGCTCCATCAGTGAACCACCCCTGATCTCCTGTACAGGCTCTGCTGTTTCTCACCTTGACACCTTCGAGTGTGATACATTCCCAACCACAATTCCCAATCCCTGCGGGGGCCACCTCTTAAAGAAAATCCTGCCTTGTGGGGAGGTATGGGACTTGGTTGGAAAGTCTGCAAGGAGGACTCTCCAGAAGGTCAGGGACCTGTAGGGGGACCTTGTCAAAGCCAGCAGACCCTGCCTTGACTTTTCCAAACAAGTCTGAGCCCCCAGGTGTTTTAGTGGAATCTTTATATTTAGACTTCAGAACATCCTTGCTCAAAGGACACTGCAGACGCATGTGTCTTCTCAAGGATACTTACCCTGCTGATAGTATCTAATAGTTAATTTTAGTTCAAGCTGTTGCTATAATAAAAGCCTAAGGAGGCAGGTGAACAGGGCTGTCTGGTTCCTTTAGCCAGGCAGTCCCTTAGTCCTCTCTTTCACATAAATATGTGTCAGAGTAATCATTCATCCATCTCTCAGAGTCTGCTGGTCAGCCCCAGCACTGCCTGTTTCTAGCTGGTTTACTCAGTGGTTACAGCATTGGCCCATGGATCAAAGATTTTCAGGTTCAATTTCGGTCAAGGGCACATATCTTGGTTGCAGGTTCATACCCACCCCAGTCAGGGTGCGTGTGGGAGGCAACCAATTGATGTGTCCCATGTTGATGTTTCTCTCTCTCTCTCTCTCTCTCTCTCTCTCTCTCTCTCTCTCTCTCTCCCCGCCTCCCATTCTATCTGAAAATCAATGGAGAAAATATCCTCGGGTGAGGATTAACAAAAAAAGAAGATCCCATCTGACCTCAGCCTGACCTGTGTTGCCCCTCTTTGCCTGGGGAAAGCATTCTGGAATGATAACAATGGCACGGGTTCATGAGTCTGTCTGTCCACCTTACATGGTATGCTGAGCAAGGACAACAGTGGGATGCATTCCCAGTGCCCTGAGCACAGTCCTCAAACGTGGTGCTTCCTGTGCTGAGGTTCCTGTCCATATGAAGTGTTGCACAGACATTGGCGCCCAAATTGCAGTGAGACTGAACTTTAATACATATCTGGGTCTCTTCACATGTAACATGAAGAGGAAGCAAAAGTCTCAACATACTTTGCAGCTGGTGTGGCTCAGTGATTGAGCATCAATCTATGAACCAGGAGGTCAGGTTTCTATTCCTAGTCAGGGCACATGCCCGAGTTGTGGGCAGGAGGCAGCTGATCCATGATTCTCTCTCATCATTGATGTTTCTATCTATCTCTCTCCCTTCCTCTCTGAAATCAATAAAAGTATATATATATATTTTAAAAAAACCTTCAATCTATCCCTTTCTGATTCCTAGACATGGACTAGAGGAGAACCTTTCATTGTTTACACCAGTGATCAAGGACTCTGAAGTGAAAGAGGGTGATAGTGAAACTGTAGGGAGAGAATCACCTCTGTGAAGAAGACGTGGCGCTCCGGACTCGGCCCACGGAGGTGAGCCTGCAGGAAGTCTGCAAAGGAGTTGTGCTGCTGCCCATAATAGTATTCTCGGGACAGGGACTGTGCAGCAAACTGGCCCAGGGGGGAGGTGCTGAGCCGGACCACAGCATCGGGTGTGGCACAGTCCAGCAGCACCAGCTTGGCGTCCTCCAGGACCTTATGGTAACACTCGTGGCTCGGGGCCCCAGGCCCAACCCTCTCGATGACCTGGAGCACCACCGAGGCACAGGTGTCTGCGTGGTAGCCGATGAAGACGTCAGGAGGGCTGTACCGGGTGTGCCGGGTGGAAACCTGCACTGCCTTGAAGTCGATGAATTTGTCCACCCAGGCCTTGAGCTCCTCCACAAGGTCCTTCTGCCACTTCTCCAGGACAGTGTTGAGGTCCAGGTAGTGCTTCTCCAGCCGGTTGATGAGGGGAGTGGGGAAGTGCTTGCAGACGACGTCTTTCTCCTCAATGACGATGAGGCGGAAGTCGGGGTGCACCCGGCACTTGACCCGGTGGGTCCCCAGGCCAAGGTCCACGTACTTCTGGCCCCCGAGGTAGACGTAGTACTGGTTGAGGGCGTCGTAGAGGCTCTCATAGAGGTTCTGCAGGTTGAGCAGCACCACCATCTTGCCCGTCTCCATGCAGATCTTCACGCGGTTGATGTTTCTGCAGATCTGTGTGTACTCCTGGTCCTGCGGGAAGCTGGACCCAAAGATGATCTCGGGCTGCTGGTCCTTGGCGAAGAGCGTCCGCTGCAGGATCTGCAGGGCCACGTAGTTCCTGGTCAGCACCAGCAGGTAGCGGGACTCCGAGTCCTCTGGCCCCGTGCCTGGCGCCCTTGGAAGGTCACCGAACAGGTTCTGCTGGATCAGCTGCAGGGTGCTGACCTCCGTGGTGAGCTTCACCTCGGGCAAGTGGTCAGAGAAAATGTCCAGGGCGTGGATCTCGTCTTTGCCACTGAAGTTCCGAAGGATGGCCTGTGCAATATCTTGCGGGAAGAGCGTCCTGTTAGAAGCTTTTGCGGCGGCAAAGACCATTTTGATGAGGCTGTAGTAGTCTCGGAGCCCAAAGAACTCCTTGTCCTGCTTCGCGCACACCGCCTCGTAGGCGCTGGCCAAGGGCCGGAAGTACCCTTGGATTCTCTCTTGCACAAGGGGCTCAGATGCACAGATCCCCCGGGCGCTCTCGATGAGCTCCCTCTGGCTGGGGCTGCCGCGGGACACGAAAATGCCCCGGTTCATCTTGGCGGGGTCCAGGGCCCAGTTGGAGATGCCGATGAAGCCCACCTTCTTGTGGGGAGCGGGGTCATCTTCAATGCACCCGTCTTCCAGCAGCGGGTGCAGGGCCTTGAGAGGCATCTGGGGCGAATCCTCGGCTAGGCCCACCTCGTCCAGCACCACGACAGAGACATATTGCTCCAGGTCCCGGCCCTGCTGCAGGCGGGCGCAGTGCTTGAAGGTGCCCACGATACCCTGCGGGGTGGAGTGTGGGCTGCACTGGAACGACACCAGGTAGACCTGCTTCAGGCTCTGGAAGAGCTCCGAGGGGGCGGCTGGGCCTTGCATGGCTTCTGCCATGATGGTCTTGGCAAGAGATTTGGAGCTGCCAGGCTTCCCCACCAGGAAGAGTGGGATCTTCAGCTCAATGCAGATGACCATCATGAAGAAGTTCTCCTTCAAGGCTAAGTTCTTGGCAATGGTTTTCCTCAGAGATACGCTCTCCAAGAAGAGGTCTTGCGTCCGCACAATCGTGTCCAGTATGGTCTTGCTGTTGTCATAGGGCAGCGGGAGGAGCTCACAGATGGCTCTGCGGTACTCGTCCTGCTTCTCCAGGGAGGCGTGGTAACACACCCCAACGGCCAGCACCAGGGACCAGAGCACGGGGTCTCTCTTGGAGTTGTCGGGGCTGTCACCAGGCTTGCTGTGAAAGGTGTCCAGCTTGGACAGAAGCATCTTGCTGTGGTCGTAGAACCACCAGAAGACTCTCATGCAGCGTTCCACATCCCGGAGGCTGACGAAGCTGCACTCATTCTCTCCTCTCCGCATGAAGCACTGGGAGGTGTAAAGCACGTTGGTGATCACGCACATCTTGTCTGAGCCAATTGTGGTGGTGTCCACCAGCCTCCGCACGATCTGCTGGATGTACATCCTTTCCGTGGTGTTGTTCAGCTGTCCGAAGTCCCACACCAGGGGCACCAGGCTCGGTGGCAGTGCGTGGACACGGTACACCAGCTGCCGCAGCGGGATGGAGCCCAGCCGGTCTACCGTCTCCTCCGCACGCACCCGGTAGCCCAGCCCAGCAGCCTCCAGGCGGGCAATCATCTCTGGGGAGTGCTTCCGGTAAGGATTGCAGGCCGCGATGACGTGGAGGCCAGAGTCCTCCGCCAGCGGCCGCCCGCCTACCATGTGGTCACACAGGACCTCCTTGATGCAGTTGATGGCGCCCGTGGTGTTGGCCTCATCAAAGAATAGGATGGTGTCGAGCCCGTATTTGCTCTTGTTGTGTTGGGCGAGGGCCTCTGCCGCCTTGACTTTGTTGTAGATCATGTCCGCGCTCATCCCGCCGTGGACCTTGACCAGCTGCAGGGTCTTGGCCTTGGAGGCCCCGCGCTGCAGGTCGCTGAGGAAGCGGATGAGCCGGGTCTTCCCGCAGCCGGTCTCCCCCATGATGATGACGGGGATTCCGCTCCGGAAGCGCATCTCGATGGCCAGGATCTTCAGCATGTTGTCCGTCGTGAGCTCGTATGTGTTGTCAGGGTCCATGGGCTGCTGGATCCCCAGTGCCAGGCAGAGCCGCTCTAGTTTCTCGGGCCGGGGCAGCGCGTCAAAATCCACGTTGAAGGGCACTCCCTGCCGCAGCAGCACCCGGTACAGGTCCTTATTCATGACATCCTTCTTGATCACTTTCTTACTCACGTGGTCGATGGCATCCAAAGTGCCCTTCAGCTTGGGCTCCAGGTGGAAGCCAATGAAGGTCATGGACGTGCGGTCCCCGTTGAAGAACAGGTATGGGTGTGGCTCTGACTCCCACCGCCGGCGGAGAGAGAACGGGGCTATGTCCTCCTCAGTGACCCCATCCATAGTGACCACGTGCTTCCCGGGACTCTGATCCGACATGCACAGCGTTGGGGTGGCGAAGTCTCTCGCCATGAAAATCATGAACGTCACCACAAAATTCTTGAAGCCCCTCAGTATGTCCCCAACCACCGCGGGGTCACAGAAAGTGGAGGCCTCGCAGTCCCTGAGCTGGCAGTTCAGGAAGAGGGCGAAGTTGCGGAGCTCCGCCCAGGAGGGGTCAAGCACCCCGCAGTAGAAGAGCAGGTGCTGCAGGCATTCCTGGGGGGTGCCCTCCACCTGGCCCTTCTGGTACTGGAACGTGTCCAGGTTCTGTTTCTGATAGAACCGCTTCAGATACTGGAAAGGTCTTTGGAAGGTTTCGCTGCAGAACTCTGTGGGGTCCATGCCCGGCTCCTCGAGGTGCCGCTCAGGGCTCAGCTCCATGTAGATCACTTCTTTGGGGGGCCTGCAGGTGACTTTTGGGAAGATGTCAAGAAGACTGAACGGGGGGACACGTGTCCTCTGGAAAGGAGAGAGGTGAATAAAATGGTTACGAAATAAATTCCCTAAAAACATGCTTTTGGTGTTTGCACTCTTGACATGGTCTCTACTGGATAGACCTTCATGAAAAACCACTTTTCATGAAGCAATGTCTGCAGACTCCCCTCAGCACAGGTGGCTGTCGCCTGCACACTCAGCACTGTCAGAGCTGCGGTCCCAGCGGGAGGTGCTTTCACCTGAGCTCCCAAAACCAAATCTTTCCATTATGTGTGAGTGTGTGAGCATAAAGCTCCCTTTTGTTAAGAAATTTATGTGACAGCCTCGCTGCTGTGGCTCAGTCGGTTGGAATGCCGTCCTGTGCACCAAAAGGTTGCAGGTTGGATTCCTGGTCAGGGCAATAGCCATGTTGCAGGTTTGAGCCTCAGTTGGGGTGCATATGGGAGGCAAGCAATCCATTTCTCTCTCTCACATCAATGTTTCTCTCTCTGTCAGATCAACAAAAATGTATCCTTGGGTGAGAATATAAAAAATTTAAAAGAAAGGAATTTATGTGACAAATGCCTCCTTCCCATCTCAGCTGCATCAGGAAAGGTGGTGCTGCCAAGTGGGCGAGTTTAGTGCATCAGAGGTATAGCATCAACCATGAGTCCAAACAAATTGAAGATGCTGCTAATTAATAAAACTTTTTATTCCACGCATTGAAAAAAGTAAGTCTAAGGATGGATTTTTCTTGACTAACCCAGCACTCTGCTGCCTGGCTAAGGCACAAGTGGTGGTGGTGGTGGGGGGGGGGGCGAACATTTAGGAAGGAGCCCACCCACCCTGATGGGACAGGGCCCTGGGTGCGCACCAACTTTGAAGACCTCGTAGGCAGCGCCGATTGCCCTTCCAGGATTTCGATGACATATAAGTGGCACGGGCTCCGAAGCCACATTTTCCCGTTTGAGTCCATTAAGTACTGTAGCACCAGGAGCTTGAAGAGAAATGCCCAGACCCCATCCTGCACCTGGAGAGAGAATCACACGCGCCACCAATATTTAAGCAAAAGACCAGCCCCCAAGGACCTCCTTAGTCTGTTCTTGGACACGATGGGACTGAATATCAATACATGATAAAGAAATTCTTATTTTTTTCCTTGCAAAGAGAGGAAGGAAGAGGGATAGACAGGTCAATGATGAGAGAGAATCATGGATCGGCTGCCTCCTGCACGCCCCCCACTGGGGATCACGCCTACAACCCAGGCCTGTGCCCTGACCTAGAGTTGAACCGTGACCTCCTGGTTCATGGGTCGACACTCAACCCCTGAGCAACACTGGCCAGGTGATAAAGAAATTTATTATGCTTGGAAGGAGGCAGGACAGGACCTAGGAGCCACCGTGTCTTTCTGGACATGGCCACTGGCTGGAATCCCAGGCACTCACCGAGGAGGTCACGTCCAGGTGGAATATCACGGGGCTCGTCTGATACTCGGCGCCCAGGAAAGGCAGCAGGGAGCCCAGGACCTGGTTCTCATCTACCTGAGGGTCAATCAGTCGAATAATTTTGAGAGGCACGTTTTTTCCAGTAAACTTCATTTTCAGAGTTTCATGCAATCTCTTCACGTAGAGAGACTTTCCTGTAACAAACATTAAAATATAGAAATCAGGTTCCTGGGCTGTGGATCAAGAATAAGAGAATCCAGAAATATTTAGTACAAGTCACTTCTCTTCATGCACAATTCAAAACTGATGCAGTGTAACCCAGGATTAAAGAGCTCTCCAGTTTCCTCACTGTTACCTGCTCCCCCCCCCCCCCCCCGTTTCGGGAACAGTGGTGCAAGGTGAGTGTGCCGGGGGAGGGGAGGGGACAAGCAGGATGGTGAATGGGATAACGTCACTGGGGTGGAACCAGTGCTGGGGACTAAAGGTCAGACAAGATCACCTTTTTTTTTTTTACTTCTCCTGCTGACGACCCACATCAACCTCAAAGCAGCTAATGCAGTTTAAAAACAAAACAGGAGCCTGCCGGTGTTGCTCATTGGTTGGAGCGTAGACTTGCACACCAAAGGGGCATGGGTTCGATTCCCAGGCAAGGACTGGTACCTGGGTTGCAGGTTTGATCCCCTGCCCCAGTTGGGGCACAGGTGGGAGGCAACCAAGCGACGCGTCTCTCTCACACCATTGTTTCTCTCTCTCTCCCACTCTCCCTCCCTTCCACTCTCTCTAAAAAGTCAATGGAAAACAAAAAACAAGCAAACATGAGACTTCGGAGAAGGCTGTTCAGAGAAGGAAGGTGGGTGGCTCCAGGCATCACCTGAACCAGGAAGAGTGTCCCTTCCGGTTTGGCTCCAATTTGCAACTTCAGATGAGCCCCACCTCCCTGACTCAGTTTTCCTTCTTGCGGGAGGGCTTCCTCTGAGTCCCCTCCCACCCCTGTGGGACGGGGAAGAGCTGTCCCCCCAGCCGCTGTCATTACCGACACCCGCTCTCGCCGAGGCCACGATCCCCACACACATCCGGTCCCTGAAGGCGGCGGCGGCCGACGGGGTCCCCTCTGGGACCTGGTAGTGATGCGCCAGGTAGGCCCGGGCGGCCTCGAGGGGTGCCCGGGGGATGGCAGGGACCCTGTGCTGGCTGAAGGCCGAGGGCAGGTAGCAGTGCTCCCGCTCGCTGTCGCAGACCAGGACGAGCTGGAAGTCCTCCCGGTGCGGCCAGGTGCGCAGGGCCCGGAGCAGCGCCTCCGCCCGGCAGGCCACCTCGTAGCTCAGCTGGTCCGCGAACAGCAGGCTGTACACGCGGCGGCCAGGGGCGCCCGGGCTCAGGCAGCGGCGAAGCAGCAGCCCCACCTCCTCGAAGGTGGTACCTGGCGTGCACAGCAGCACCTCGTCGTAGGTGGGCAGCGGCTGCTCCGGGCTCTGCATGTAGATGGCCAGGGCGGCCGGCAGCACCTCCGAGTGGCCGCAGACGATGAGGTTGGGCTGGCCGGCCTGCAGACCTTTGGGGAGTCCCCGCATCACGGGAGGCCCGCCCCTGGCTGCCAGGCGTGCCAGGCCACGGCCCAAGGCCTCCAGGTCCAGGCAGTGGGGCAGGAAGGCACGCGTGCACCTCAGGAACTGCTCCATGATGACCCCCAGCTTGTCCACCAGGCCGGACTCACTGAGGAGCAGGATGGGCAATCTCTCCATCACTGTCTGCAGCTCCTGCTTGGAGGTCCCGCCATCACCATCGCCATCTCCATCGTCATCTGGGCCCCTGAAGGCCTCCACGACATCCCGCGGGGTGCACTGGCGTTTGACGAAGGACAGCATGGCAAGGACAGCAGCGCGGGCGCCGGGCGGCTGCCTGGCTAGCTCTGTGCTCAGGTGCACCAGCTGCTCCGCTGTGTAGTAGTTGAGGTGAAAGTGCTCTGCTCGCTTCCGCGCCAAAAACCCCTCCCACTGGCCCAAGAAGTGCTCCATCTGCCTGCACAGCGCCTCCAGCAGAGGGACCAGGGGCGCGTGCCCCTGCAGCGGCTCCAGCAGTGGCAGCCCAAAGTTCATCTGCACGGGCTCGGCCAGCCCCGGGCAGCAGTGCACCTCAACCTTCCAGGCCCGGAACAGGAAGCTTCCAGCAGAATACAGGTTCAGGAAGGCCTGCAGGAGCCTCTGCACGTTGCAGAACACCTGTCGCCAAGGGAAGCAGGAGGCAGGTCTCACTGGCTGACCCCAGAGAGAAGGTGGAAGCAGACTCAGAGCCTGAAGGGCGGGGTTGAGAGCAGAGCCTGCCTTCCTTTGTGACAGAACCTCTTCCTCAGGGAGGCCTGGCGTTGCCAAGATTGAGGGGATCCTGCAAAAACAGTGCAAATGGCCCAGCCTGTGTGGCTTAGTGGTTGAGCATCAACGTATGACCCAGGAGGTCATGGTTTGATTCCCGGTCAGGGCACAGGCCCTGGTTGCAGGCTCAATCTCCAGTGGGCGGGCGTGCAGGAGGCAGCCGGTCCATGATTCTCTCTCATCATTGATGTTTCTATCTCTATTCCCTCTCCTTTCCTCTCTGAAATCAATAAAAATATATTTTAAAAAATTATTTTAAAAAGTACTAATAATCTTTAAAGAAAAATCTCCTAACAAAATGGAGAGGCTGTTCCAATATGCTTCCTTCCTATGGTGGGTCACCTCCGATACCAGTGCAGGCTGCCCACCTGCATCTTTACCTAGTTTTGGATTTTTGCCGATTGGTATAGTAGGGAGGCAATTTAAGTTTCCTTCTAAGGACTGTGCCCGGGCCATCTCCTCTCAGAGCAGCAGATTCAGGGACAATGGTCTCTACGGAGATTAAGCGGGAACCGCTAACCAAAGGGCCTGTCACACCTGAGAAGCCCCATCAGGCCCTGAGTTTGGGTGACAGCCACCCTGCAGACCCACGGGTTCCAGAGCAGAGCCATTCCTAGGGATCAAACCCAAACTGTCCGGGGCCACTGGGAAGGGCGTCCCCAGCCCCGACTGAGGCGCCCACAGCTTGCCCGGAAGCAGACCCCACCTCGGAGAACACCTGCGCCTCGGCACTGTGGTGGTCTTTCTTGCCAGACATGAGCATCAACTTGTTCAGAAGCCCCTTCAGCTCCTCCAGGGAGCACCTGCGCTGCTCCTGGCCATCCGCACTGCTCTCGGGGAGGAGCAAATATAGAGCAGTGTCTGGGGAGATCTGTGGAACAGGACACATTTGGGGATAATTTTCTGGAGGGAGAACCTCACCTCATGCCAGGGCATGAGTGTGTCAAGGAAATGGGCATGTCTGGGGTGTGGGTGTGTCTAGGCTGTGGGCATGCCCAGGAACAGGCGTGTCCTGGAAATGGGTGTACCCAGGGGTGTGGGCGGGTCTGGGAAGTGGGTATGCCGGGAGTTGGGGGCTCACCTGCTGGAGCTCAGTGGGCACCTGGATCACATAGATGCCCCTGCTGTTGATGGCTCTGGCCAGTGACAGCGACGAGTGCTCTACTGAGCCGTGGCTCTCCTTCACCTGCTTCAGCCACCCCAAGTCCCTAGCAGAGTCTCGCTGTTGGGACAGGAGAGAAAACAGCCATCCATCGATCCATCCTGTTCTTTCTCTCTTCCTGTGGGCACGGCCCTCCCACCTCAAGGGCAAATGCCTTCTCTGGACAGGTCAGCCCTCGGGGTGGAGTTGGGGGGCTTCCTCCTGCGCTGCCCAGACTGGAACACCTAAGAGGTGTCCTTCAATCAGGGATGGGGAACCATTTTTCTGCCAAGGGCCATTTGGATATTTATAACATCATTCACTTAATATAAGTTTATGTTGCTATGAAAAAAGCTCCCAGATTTATTTATTTATTTATTATTTTAAAAATAAATATATTTTTATTGATTTCAGAGAGGAAGGGAGGGGGCAGAGAGAGAGAGAAGCATCAATGATGAGAGAGAATCATTGATCAGCTGCCTCCTGCACACACACCCCACTGGGGATCAAGCCCATAACCCAGGCATGTGTCCAGACCAGGAATCAAACCGTAATCTTCTGGTTCATAGGTCAATGCTCAACCACTGAGTCACCATGGCCTGGTGCTCTCAGATTTATTGAGTTTCGAGTCCCAGCTGGGGTTGCCTTGGCAGGTCCAGACAAATGATTTCGAGGACCTTGTACAGCTGTTCCCCATCCCTCCCTGACTTAAATGGAAATGTGTATTTTTTTCTGATAAAACATCCATCAATCCCAATTGTGGGAAATACCAAAAAATATACAGAATTAAGTCACAACTACTACCATTTGGAGAAAACACTGGTGACATGTGAGCATGTTTCCTTTCCGTCTATTTTTCTTTCATGTGTTTTACATGCAGTTTTATATTCTACTTCATAACATACAAGCTAGAGAAAGCATTTCCATATGTGAAGAAAACCCTTGGCAAACATGGTCTTGAACATGTGATGTGTGATGATGTGCACAGTCATGGCCCTGAGTCCCACTGAGCCATGAGCCAGGAATAAAACTCACCAGTTTACTGGGCAGGTGTGGGTCGTTTTCCAGAGCCTTCCACAGCTCCTTCAGGTGTCCCGTGAATGCATGGAAATCTGTGCTCATGTCCAACTTGTAGAGCAGAGAGCTGTAGCCCTGGACGGCGTCATGGAAGCAGGCTACGCGGTCCATGTCCATGTCATTCTCCCCCGCGAAGATGAACGCCAGGTCCACAAACACCTTCAGCTCGTTGATGCCTTGGGGCGAGAGGGGACAGGTGAGGGTGGGGCCACTCCATGGGACACGAGGCTCACACCATGGACAATAGTCTTTCGAGGAGCTATACATGGACATCCAGTGTATTTTTAGGGATTGATCTGCTTTCAATAAGATTCCAGGCACCTTTTCTCTTGCTTCTAATTGGAATACCACTGACCAGTGCCTGAACTCACTAACAGTGGGGTACAGACACCACACGAGGCTGTGTGCCCCTGACTCCATTTATCCATGCAATGTCACCATCCTTTAAAAAAATTAATTCTCTCCTGAGGATATGCTTTTATAATCGATTTTACAGAGAAAGGAAGGGAAAGAGAGAGAGACATGGATGTGAGAGAGAAACATCAATTGGTTGCCTCCCATACATGCCCTAAAAGTGGATTGAACCCACAACCTATGTTTGTGCCCTGACCAGGAATTGAACCTACAACCTTTTGGTGCACGGGATGATGCTCCAACCTATTGAGCCACACCAGCCAGGGCAGGAGCAAGGTTTTTAAGAAAATGATCCCCCTTGCCCAGCCGGCGTGGCTCAGTGGTTGAGCATGGATCCATGAAATCAGGAGTTCACGGTTTGATTCCCTGGGCACATGCCCAGGTTGTGGGTTTGGTCCCCAGTGTGGGGCGAGCAGAAGGCAGCTGATCAATGATTCTCTCTCATCACTGATGTTCCTATTTCTCTCTGCCTCCCTCTATCTTCCTCTCTGAAATCAATAAAAATATTTAAAAGAAAGAAAGAAAATGACCTCCAGCTGTCCACAGCAAACCTACAGAGTGAGGGAGCACTGGCCAAGGACACAGCTTTTACACCAGAGCATGAGAAATACTCTCCTGATGTAAATTCTACCAGAGACCACGCAGAGCACACATCCTAAGGAGTGCAGATGGCACCCTCTGTCCTTTCCCCAGCCCGTCAACTTAGAACAGTCACCCATGCGCCATTGGGACACCCAGGCTCCTGCAAACCCCAGTGACGACCATACCTTTGACAGCCTCCCGGACCCAGTGGACGAACTCCCTGGCCAGGGCCAGCTCCAGCAGACACTGGCACCGGGCCTCGTCCAGGTGCCGCAGCAGCTTGTTGGCACTGATGACCTGCCTGTCGATCTGGCCCAGTTTTCCATGGCGAGAGTTCTCAGAGGCTTCGGTCTGTAAGACAAGGCTCTGTTGTGGGCTGAAGCTGGTCACCTGGAGCCCTGAGTCTGAGCAGGAACACAGACCGTCCCAACGGCCCCTGAACCTCCTGGGTTTGTGGCTGCTAAGATGTGGATGGGCACACGGGTCTCTCATCCCAGAACTGGATGCTGTATCCCCCTCCCCTGATCAGTAATAAACACCCCTGGTCTCTGGGGACATTCTGCTAAGCAGCTTCCACAAGAACCGCCTGGCACGTATTATTTTCCTGCGTTGTAGGTGGAAAAGTGAGGGCCCAGGCCTGGGACCCACTCCAGAGCCCACTGCTACAGCTCACGCCTATGCAGGTGTGATTCCAAATCGTGTGCTGAGTTTCCATCCTCTTCACACCCTTCTCTGCTGCTGTGCAGGCCCCAGTCTGCCTCCTAAACTCTCGTCCTCAAAGAGCAGAAACCGAAAGACCCCCTTCTTACTGATGTTCACAGAAGTCACTCTTCGGGCGGCTCCCACAGACAGGAGGGGGCAGCCACGGAGCCAGGCCTTGGCTCTCTACAAACATCCAACATCTGAGAGGGCCACACAGACCTGTCCTGTGTCCTTGATGCTCGTGTCAAGGAGCAGTCACACTATGTATAAGCCGAGGGGAAACCAGGTCCCTGCACATTCAGCACCCAGTGAAATGCAAACAGGAAACTCCCGTCCAGGCTTTACAAGCCAGAGAGCCCAGGGCTGCCAGGAGTCTGAGCTGGGACCCCACCTGAACCCCAAGGGTCCCTGGCAAATAACTTACGATTCTTAGTACAAAGTGGAGAAGACTGAAGTCCCCGGTCAGGCCCAAGGTCTCTTTGACCTCCAAGATGATCTTGGCTGCCTTGGCAGACAGATGCAGGTGGTGGTATTCCCTGACCTGCTCCATTCGCTCCTGGATCCAATCCCTTGGGTCACTGGGGTCCAGGGCACACATGACACTGAGGTCAAAGGTGAGTTCCTCGTATTTATTCACAAAGACGCCGAAGATAGTGTGCACTTCCCCAAAGGTGAGCTCGCCCGACCTCAGGTCCTCATACAGTTTCCTGAACTTGTTGAAGCAAGGAAGGTACAGGTCATCATACATATCTTCAATGTCCACAAGCGGCCCTCCCTGTGCCTCCTCCTCCTCTGGCGGAAGGAGCGCCCGGGCGGCCTCTGCCCAGAAGGTCCAGAAGATGTGACTGTCCTTGAGCAAGTCTATTGTTGTGGCCATTTCTTGAACGTGGGCGCTCAGGTTGTAGTGCGTTACCCACTCCATGTCTAAGGAGGTGGGGGATGGACTCGCCATCACGACCTCATTTAGGCATTTCCTGCCCAGGTCTTCTGCGTGTTTCTCAGCAATCTTTCTGCAGTCCACTGCAAAACCATAAGAGGACGTCATCCGTGAGCCCACCAGTCCAACGGGACTCTCCCCTCCCCCTCGCTGCTCCTGAGGAAACTCGAGGGATCACACTCGCTGGCATTTTTTCTCTCAATAAGAATCCAGACAGCGCTCCCCCCACCTTCAGTTTTCACAACAAAGCCTTATAAGTTCTGGGTGAAGAAAGGCACCCTCTTCACCCGCTCCCCATACCCCACTTCGATGCCAGAACAGAGAGAGATCTGTAAAAAGTCACACACCACCTGGGCAGGAAGGACAGAGAGCCACAACCTGTAAGATGGGACAGTGGATGGGCCCATGGGAAGTGGGGCCCAAGGCCTAGAATGTGGAACCGCAGCCTGCCATGGGGACACTGGGAGCCCAGCAGGTTCCTGCTCAGGGAGCTGGACTGTGGGGATGCTGATGAGACCAGGAAGGGACAGGCTGCTTTTCACCCCATTCCTTCTTCTTTCCCTCCTCCTCTCCCTCCACTGGCCTAGTAGCAGCGGGAGGTCCCATTCCCGCCGCGGCACAGAGGGTGGGGGACCTGGAGGTCTCAGGTCCGTGGGGAATAATGGCATTTCCAGACATACATGGCACTGAACTTCAGGAGTAAGAAAGAGGGGACAGAAGACACAGGGGCAGCAGAAGGCAGGCGGGAGCACCAAAGGGAAAGGGGGCCGACCCGGCGCTGGAAGCCCTGCAGCCCACTCCTCTCTCAACTCCCAGAGCCATGCCCATGTGAGGATGGGAGATGCAAGCGCCCCACAGAGAAGACTCCAAGGCACAGCACATCCAAGGCCCTTCCCGCTGCCAGTTCTCTGTCAGCTTACCAGGCTCCTCACTTACTGTCACAAGAAAACCAAGAATGTCCAGAGCCTTTCACGTGGGTGGTAGATAGGAAAACACAGCAACAGGTAAAAGGGACTCGGTAAAAGGGACTCAGAGGAAAGGAAAAACTATATGCAAAATAGAAAAACCCCTAAACCCCAAATATCAATAACCTCAGGAAGATAAGATACCGTAACCACGAACAAGCACCGAGGGCACAGAAAAAGGGCGTCCAGTCCTGGCAAGAGAGGAAACGCTCAAGGAAACAGTTTAAGAGAATGTTCCAGATCTCAAGGGCTTGGATGTCAAGTTTCGAAAGACCACCAAATTATGCCCAATGGTTGGAGAGAAAATGCACCCATACGGGGGCCCACATTTCAGAATCCTGGGGACAAAGAGATCTAAGAGCCTCCAGAGAGAAAATGTCCCCACAAAGGAGCAGCCATTAGCATTGCTCTCGACTTCTCAATGGCCACGCTGCAGAGACCACGGTGCCACATGCGCAGCATCTGGAAGGAATAGGACTTCCTGTCTGTAATTCCGACCGAGTCCACGATTACCCTAGTGTGAGGGCAGACATTCGCAGACTCACAAGGACGCAAGAATTGACCCTTTTCAGTCCCATTTCGCAGGGATATAATGGAAGATAATGTTCAACTAAAACCCAGGAGTGAGAGCGGGAGTCCAGGGTCCCAGAAACAGACCCAAACGAGGAGTGAGGCGAAGAACAACCCCAGGACAACCCCAGGAAAGTTAAAACAAAGGCCAAACAGTGAGGCAATCTGCAGCCAGCTTGTCACTAACAAGCCGCTATCTTCCCCAGCCAAGGACATAGCAAATGGTTAAAAACCTCCCTCATGAGAGACTGCAGAGAGGGAGGGGAGGGGAAAGGGAAAAAAGGCAGTTGTATTTCTTTCACTCCCTAAGCAGAGAAGCCAGCCTCCTCAAGGCGTGGCAGGATAAAATTGCCAGGTGCTTCTCATGAATTCTGGGAAGGCCACAGCAAAGTAAAAAGGGGCCTTGAGAATTAATCTGCACCAAATATTCAGCAGAGGAATTCTGTAACCTACAGGTAGGAGGGTATATAACACCTCAGACCCCCACCCAACCTGCTCTTCAGATTAGCTGAGAACCCGTCTGTGCTTTATGAGCCAGAAGTATACGTTTGCTTGCTTTGCTTTTTCAATAAAGGTGCATGCTTTAATTGCTTTAATAAATTGGCTCTCCGTATAAATTCATTTATATGAGAAGACAAGGATCCAGGCTGGGGACATCCTCTCCCACTGGCCCAGGGGCTCCCACTGGCCCAGGGGCTGTCCTGTCCAAGAACCTCTCCAGTGTCCATCAGAGGTGCCTCGATGAGACAAGAATTTCCAATCTAGAGGAAACCAAGCTTGTGCGTGAAGGTAAGGTGATCGTGGTCTCCTTTGGGGCTCGGCGGTCAAAGCGCATTTACACAGTGGTGACCATTCAGGCCCTGAGCAGTGAGCAAATGAAGAGTGAGTAAAGGGAATAGGAAAGGTGGTGTGTGTACGGCAGAGACTGGAGAAACTAAGAGCCCTAATCGTCCACCATGGATAACACTTAAACCCGGAAAATCCAGAAGCAATTTAAGCGTGTTTTTTGAGAGGGACAAGGTGACAGGTCCAACTTTGTTTAAAATGGACACTTTACCAACAACCTGCTCTCCTCTGACCCTGAAGTTTGGTTCATTAAAATTCTGATGCGAGTTACCTTTCACCCAGTGTTTCACCCCCTCGCACAGCTTCAGAAGACTGTCCACCCGGCTCTGCTCTTTCTGTAGAAATTGTAGTTCTTTCCACCTGGAGTCCAGCACGTTCTTCATATCGTATTTTTCCTCCTGGGGTGAAAGACTTTTTCTCTCTGGGAAAAAAAGTTACGCAATAGAACAAAGGAACATATTCTTTTCTGTGGCAACCATTTCTTCCCTCTTCTTTTGAATGTGATGCACACTCAGGTATATGGGGGTGGGAGGAGGGAGGGGGCTGCGAGCCCAGCCCCTCCGTCCAGGTGCCCGCCCTCAGCAGCATGGGATGGGCCTTGAGCACTCGAACTTGGTCATCACTTTCCTGAGGATTAGACACCATGTGACACGAAATGCAACATCTGATTCCATCTGGAATCCGGTTGCTCTCCATAACAGTACTGAAACAACTGACAAAACCTAGATGGAGTATGGACATTCCAGGGAGTCACCTGTTAAGGTTAATTTTCTGACTTTAGTGGTTATGTTGTAGTCACGTGGGGAAAGTTCTGACCTAGAGGAAATACACACTGAAGTTCTTGGGAATGATGGGTATTCGTTGGGCAACCTACTCTCAAATGGTGTAGGGCTTTTTGAACAGTTCTTTCAATATAGTTCCCATTGTTTTAGAATGTTGTGATTGTTTCAAAAATAATAAATAAATTCATCCATCTTTTTTTCCCAAAAGAAAAAAAATAATCTGTCCTGTCAATTTAGTGGCAAGAAGAGCCCCTCATCATACCAAGGACAAAGACCACCCTTCTAAGGAACCCTGTGAGCATAGACATTCCCCGTCCGGGTTCCTCAGCAGCCAGGTGTCCCGCATCAGCACCATACTCACTCAGCTCCCAGATGTCAAGAAACTGAGTCATGTGATTCCTGATCAGCTGCAGCTGTTCCACCAACACCGTGCGGCTGAGGAGGGCCTCGGCCACCTTGGTGAAGACCGAGTCTGCCGTGGCCATCAGCTTCTTGCCATCCTCCGTGATGTGCGCTAGTATTTTCTCGTCGGTTCCTGCTCAGGTTTATAACAGTTTAAAATCAGAGCCTGCCTGTTTCCTGCATGGCTCCCACTGCAAGCTGAGGCCTCCTGGGCTCTCCTTGCTGCCTGGACCAATGCTGGGCAACACGTGCAGAGGCCTCACACACTTCCTCAATCATGAAGACAATTCCTCCAACTGCACAGTCAGCTGAGAGAACCACGTTTCTCGGGTTTTTAAAATCGGTGCGCCCTTCAGTATTCTGGACCCACACACACTTTCCTCTCAATTCCCTCATTTCCAGAATTCCCACGGCAGAAGAATTCACCCCAGCAAGGTGGCATCACAGAGGCGCTTTCATGGCCCATGGACACAGGTGCACCAACTAGGTCCTGCTCTGCTTATCCTGGCTATCTTGAAAATTTTGAATGTGAATTTCAGGATCAATTTAGAGGGCAGAATTTAAAAATATACTTAGCTTAACCACCAGGAGATTTCTCTCCAAGTAATAGCTGGGTTGTACAGTATTTTGAGGACACCAAGTTTATCTATGCCACTAAAAATCAATACGGCAATTTTATTAGTAATTGCAAAACCTAGGAAGCACCCAAGATGTCCTTCAGTAGGTGAATGGACAAACTGGCCCATCCAAACAATAGACTATTAGTCGATGATTTAAACACACACACAAAAACGTGCACACCCTGGCCGGTGTGGTTGGGCATTGTCCCACATACAGAAAGGTTGCTAGTTCAGGGCACTTGCCTGGGTTTGGGGCTTGATCCCCAGTAGGGGGAGTGCAGGGGGCAGCCAATCAATATTTCCCCTCATGCCGATATTTCTCTCTCTCTATCCCTCCTCCCTTCCTTCTAGTCTCCCTAAAAATCAATGAAAAAAATATCCTCTGGTGAAAATTAACAACAAAAACACACGGGGACCTTCAGGAGGACCCTCAGGACAGCTTCAAGGACACAGCAGCTGTGACCAGCAGGTGTGCCAGGGATGGTGGCCTTAGGATTGGTTCTTATCCACATCCAAGACACCCTGGCCCTTGCTGGGCCCCTCTAGCCCATTGGCTTCCTTGCTGGACATCTGCTGCCCTCATCAGGTGTCAGGTCAATGTCCTGCCCTGTTGCAGGTCAGAAGGATGTGAGTGGACACCCCCAGAACATACTGTACAGTTTGAAGAGATGCTTGACGTCTGGCCACGTGAGTAGGTATTTCAGAACCTCAGCCAAGTCGTCCACGGCCTCCCCGTTGCACCTGGGCCAGGACTTGGTGACCACAGCGGACGCGAGGATCCCGAATCTCTGCAGGTTGCTCTGAGAGAGTCCCTCCAGAATGCTGGTCTGTGGCTAAAGAAAATGAGAACAGAGAAGGGAATTCAGGAAGGTGTCTTTTTGGGGTTATTTTTTTGTTTTGTTTTTAAGTAACAGAAGTAAATTACCCAATTTCAGAAACCTATTATGACTAGTTTACAAAGCTTCAAAAAAACCGACAAACGAGTAAAATACTTCACTTTTATTAGGGCATTTTGCTTCGCTGTGAATTGTCTCCTTGAGCAGCAACCCCCAGAAACGTGGCAGTGTGGACTCACAGACACGCCCCACACATCACACCCCTCCCTCTGGCTCACCACCAGTGTCTGCATTTTTCCTGCACTTTCATGTCATGAAAAACAGCAAACATAGCATCAGTAAATCATCAATCCATCAAATACTTTGTATTCCTAAACTGTCTTTTGTAAGGCCGCCTGCATACAGCACATACTAGTATATTGTAGGACTCTTCTCTGCTTCCCCAAGACACAAAATGTTTTCTTTTCTTTAAGTTTAAAATTTTTACCAAAAGTGTCAGCCTGGGCACCAAAGGGTCTTGTGTTTGATTCCCAGTCAAAGGCACATACCTGGTTGTAGGTTCCAATCCCAGCCCCAGTTGAGGTGCATTCAAGAGGCAACCAATCAATGTGTCTTTCTCACATCGATGTCTCTCTCCTCAATTCTCCTCTCTCCTCTCTCTCTCTCTCTCTCTCTCTCTCTCTCTCTCTCTCCTCTCTCCCTCTCTCTCTCCTCTTCCTCCTCCTCCTCCTCCTCCCTCCCTCCCTCCCTCCCTTTCATTCCCTCTAAAAATCAATGGAAAAAGTATTCCCAGGTGAGGATTAACTAACTAAGTAAATAAATAAAAGGATAAAAGAAAGCTGTATCCAACTACTTATAAAAAGGATTAAACACCGAGACCAGGAGGGATTTATCCCAGGGATGAAAGGTTGGTTGAACATAAAAAAAAATTGAATGTAATACAACGAATCAATAGAAAAAAATTACCTGATCATCTCAATAGACTAAGAAAAGTATTTGACAGAATCCAGCACCCTTTCATGATAAAAATACTGAACTGAAACAGAAGGCACTCCTCACCTGGTAAAGGGCACCTATCATCTATGGAACCCCCAGCTAACTCCACGCTCAGTGGAGAGAGAAGCAAGACAAGGGAGGCCCCTCTCTCCACATCTATTCAACTTGGTGCTGGGAGCTCTGCTCATGGTGGTCAGGCAGAAACAGGCATAAAAGGCACCCAGATCAGAAAGGAGGAAGAAAAACTCTCTCTGTTCACAGATGACATGATCTTACAGAAAGTGCTAAAGAGCACACAGGCCTACATGCACACACAGACCTACATGCACACACACCTACACACACACACATGCACACATGCATACAAAGAAGGAGGCTGTGCCTGAGAGGTGTTGTAGAGCAGAATATCTCCTTACTTTGCAGGAAAAAAATTCCTAAGTGAATGGATAGGAACAGACACTTATCCATAAATGTTTTGTCAACCTTTGGCATCTCTCACTGCACAGGTGCAGTGTTGGAGACAACGCACACCAGGAGCGGGGACTTCACAGGGACCTTCGCTAGCGGCTGGGGACACCACCGGACTCAACGTCACACGTGAGTGGCTGTGATTGACCGCAGGTCACAGCTGCGCCACCTCGGGAAGCTGAGTGGCATTTCCAGGAGCTGGTCAAGGGCCCCAGACTCCAGAACCAGTCCTGCCAGCCAGGAGGGGATGCCTGTGCCTTTGCATAGGGTTGAAGCCCGTCTCAGAGCCCATGGGCACTTACCAGACCTTCCTGACAACATTGGAAGGCAGCTGTGACCCTGAAAGCGTCCCTGGTGGGCTAGCTTGCTCACCTGGCAGGCCAAGCCTACAGCTTCAATGGCACATTTCTCGAAGCACTTGGACACGCTGTCCTCGGCGCCCGCAGCTGCCCAGCCAGTGCTGCAGTAGGCGGAGATCTGAGAGAGCGGCCTCTCCTGCAGGGGCGAAAGGGGCAGAGCTGGGGGCAGCACTCTGAGCTCCAGGGGACACAGGGACCTAGTGTTTTCACTTCCCCACCCTCTTACCATTCCCCATTGTTGGAACCTTCTTCCCACTCACTGCCCCCCAAACATCAGACCAACAATAAGACCGCTCAACAGAGAAGGTGCCTGCACTAAAGTTTGCAAAAAGAGGTGAGTTTTGAAAAGTAACGCGATTTTTCCTTGTTTGTGTTTTTCTGCAAAGATCCATTGACCGTTATATATAAAGTTCCCACGTCACGTTTAAAAAAATTAGCCCCGGTCCCGGCCGGTTTGGACAAAGCATCGGCCCGATGACTGAAGAGCTGCGGGTTCGATTCTGGTCAAGAGAATGCATCTCAGTTGCAGGTTCGATCCCCAGGCCCATTGGGGTATGGGAAGAGGCAGCCAATGGATGTGTCTCTCTCACATCGATCTTTCTCTCTGTCTCTCCCCCTCCCTTCCATTCTCTTTGAAAATCAATGGAAAAATATCCTTGGGTGAGAATAAACAACAACAAAATCAACCCCAATCTTTCGAGGGTCATGGGCCTGAACTAAAACAAAGAGCACGTCTGTGTTTTCCCCACTGGTCGCCGGGTTTAACAGGCTCCTGTTACCACGGGCCACTTGGAGGCCCCGCATGCATGGGGTTCCCCGGTGCAACCCCTGTTCCCCATTGTTCTCTGGAATTCCATCCAGGGCCCCGCAGCAAAGGCTGCACCAGGAGCAGCGATGAAGCCATATTTGCCCACCCCTGGGCACCGGAGGGCAGTCCACCCATTTGAACAACCTTTCCCTCCATGGTGGTCACCAATGTCTGGTTCTCTCAACCTGCCTTCACCCCCAAGAAGTACGGCCCCAACCCCGCTACCTGCTTGAGCCTTCCTTCCAGGTCCCCCAGCAAGGACTCCTTCCAGCCGTGTTCCTCGGGGAAGCGGATCTCCACCAGCTGCTGCCACACCTGCAAGGCCACAAGTGAGGGACAGCCCCGAGACAGGAAATGCCACAATGTAAGCCTTCCAACGACGACTGTGGTGACACAGAGGGCTCTGCACTGCGAGGCCACCTGGCGTGGGACCTGGCCACGGTTACTGGAGCTGTCGGCGGGGTCAGGGCGCCCACCTCAGCCCCAGAACAGGAAGGACCCCGACTGCACAGGGAACCACTCTGGTCCTTCATTGTGAAACTGGTTGTTAATTCAGAAATTATTTTCCTCCAATGTTTTATTTTGAAAAATGTCAAACTTGTGATGCTGCCATTTACCTCCATCAGATCCCCAATGTTCACCTCAAACATGCTCTCTCTCCCTCTTCAGGCGTTTTCTCTGCCCGGCCGCTGGGAGGTGAGCCACCAATGCAGTGCCACTTGACCCCTAAGTACTTGGGCAGGCATCTCCGACCACGTGGTCCACACGCCACACAACACAGTATGAGTCACGCTCAGGTCAGTGCCATGGGTCTGACACTTCTCTAGGCGGGTCCCTGTCCACATCCCTCCCATCACTCACATATGTCCTGACTCTCTAGGTCCAGATACAACATGGAACATGCAGTACATCTCTTTTCCAGTAACGCCCTTGTGGCTCTTTCTTTCTTGAACAATGTGTACAGTTCTGAAAAGCTCCGGGGAACGAGGGAAGCAGGCTTTGCTTTATAGAAATCCAGTCCATGAAGCCGGAGGTGCCCCATTCCACAGGGATGAGCCCTACAGAACCCTCCCATCGAGGGCAGAGGTCATTCAGGTGGACCCCTTGGCCACTCCGACACCCCGATTACCTTGATAACTACAAGGACACAAGGAGAAAACAGACACGTTAAAAACCAAAAATGGGCCTGGCCGATGTGGCTCAGTGGTTGAGCGTCGACCTATGAAACAGGAGGTCATGGTTTGATTCCAGGTCAGGGCACATACCTGGGTTGCAAGCTCGATCCCCAATGTGGGGCGTGCAGGAGGCAGCTGATCAATGATTCTCTCTCATCATTGATGTTTCTGTCTCTCTCTCTCCTGCTCCCTTCCTCTCTGAAATCAATAAAAATATATGTTAAAAAATAAAATAAAAAATAAAAACCAAAAATGGGAGTGAATAAAGCTTCCCAGATAGTGCCCTGCCCAGCCCTGGCGGAGTCCTGTCCACATGTACTTAAGGTGTTACTGTAAGCTTGGATCCAATCCAGTGGCCGCCCCGTCCCTTGCCCTCCTCCACAGCACACAGTTCTATTCCACACCGGTCATCTTCAAAACGCTCCCACCTCCCACCTCTTACCTCCCACTGCCCACCATTTTTGGGGCTCATGTCTCTCTTTCTCACATTCAGATGCCATTCTGCCCAGCTTCCCTTTCAAGTACTGGTAGTTCCTGCTTTCATCTTTTCTTTCCAAGTCCAGCATCACAAACTTCATAACCTTAGTACTAAATCAGACCCCAAATGCCCCCCACAAGTCCCCCCGCCCAGAGCACCTCCCTGGCAAGGTCTGCCTGCTACCGGGGCTCCCGGTAGGCATGTGACCAACGCCTGGCCTTTCAGATCCCACTGGGGAGGGCAGGGACTCGAGGCCTGAGGCCCAGGCACAGGATGGGGCACCCCGCTGAGGTCCTGGTGCTCAGGATACAGCCTGAGGTGTCGAATCCCTGTGCAGACACATTTCATGGGCCGTGCACCGTCTCCAGCTCACCTGGATCTCCTTGCTGTAGGTGAACCTGACAGAAGAGTCATTTGAATTGCAGAAGATGCTCTGCTTGAAGGTTCCCCGAAACCACGCTCTCGTGGCAGCGAGGGCTCCCTGGGCCACACTCCTCACTGAGGTCCTCATTCCAGTGTCACTTCCTGGCCCTTCCTCGGAGTCCTGTTAGCAAAGGGGAAGTAGGGAGGGGCGGGGGGAGAGAGAATTGTCCTGGCCCGTCCTCTGCTACCGTTAAAGTGTAGGGAAAAGCTCAGAGGGGAAGACCATCCATGGACATGCATTGGGGGGGTGTCACCTGCCGCCCGCCATCTTCTCTGCTCTGTAATTGCCCAGTCACCCGACCACCTGCACTGTAACTCCCCTCCTTCCAGCCTGAGACCCAAAGGCCAAGGTGCACATGGGGTCACACAGCATCCTGTGTGCGGTGAGCCGGCCAGGGCATGTTGGGTGACGGATGAGGGGAGCAGCCGCTTTGTGCCATCCTGCAATCCCACACTTGGCCCAGCTCCTTTGTGAACGAGGGCACTGGAAACTCCGTTGCTGTCCTGGGCGTGACACACCTGGAGCCCACTCACCACTATAGGTTTCAGCCTGATGATGATGCAGACGATCTCGGCAGATAAGGCGAGCAGCTCGTGAGTCATCAGGCCTTTTGTGAGTTCGCAGACGGCCTCGTGCAGCTTCAGGCACACGGTCAGGTAGGACGGCACCAAGGGCTCCTGGAGAACCCTGCACCGCAGTGAGTGAAGAGAAATCACTGGAGGGACCCAGGGAACGGGAAACATCACCGTCATCCAGGGCGCACTCCTTCCCGTTAAGTACCAGCAGCAAGGCATCCATTGGATCCCTATATAGCATAACATCGGGGAGATTTCAATCCACCTCAAACTTGCAACCAAGATAAAAAGCAAACAACCTGGCCAATGTGGGTCAGTGGTTGAATGTCCACTTCTGAACCTGGAGGTCACAGTTCAATTCCTGGTTGGGGCACATGCCCACGTTGTGGGCTTGATCCCTAGTGGAGGGCAGGCAGGAGGCAGCCAATCAGTGGTTCTCTCTCATCATTGATGTTTCTATCTCTCTCCCTCTCTGAAATCAATATATATATATATATAAATGAGAGGCCCAGTGCACAACAATTTGTGCACTCGGGAGCGGGGGGGTCCCTCAGCCCGGCCTGCGTCCATTTGCAGTCCAGAACCCCTTGGGGGATGTCCACCTGTCGACTTAGGCCCACTCCTTGGGGGATCAGGCCTAAGCTTGCAGTCAGACATCCTTCTGGCAGCCAGGGAGCCCTCGGGGGATGTCCGACTAAAGGCTTAGGCCCCCAAGGGATCGGGTCTAAATCGTTAGTTGGACATTCTTAGTGCTGCCATGGAGGTAGGAGAGGCTCCTGCCACCACCACTGCGCTGGCCAGCCATGAGCCAGCTTCTGGCTGAGTGGCACTCCCCATATGGAAGTGCACTGACCACCAGGGGGCAGCTCCTGCATTGAGCGTCTGCCCCCTGGTGGCCAGTGCGCATCATAGCAACCGGTCATTCTGCCGTTCAATGTGCATATTAGCCTTTTATTATTATTATATAGGATGTCCCTATTTCCCCCCTTTGGGCCCCTCTACCCAGCTCTTGCCCCCCACTTCTCTCTGGCCATCACCATACTGTTGTCTGTGTCCATGGGTTGTGCATATATTTTCTTCGGCTAATCCCTTCTTTAAATTCACTTCTTTAAATTTTTATTTTCAGATAAGTGCTTATAACTGCACTATTATATATTTTCTATTATATCATTTAGAATTAAGATATTTTTTAATTGAACCCTTGTAAATTTGAGCACAACTTAATAAATTATGCTAGAAGCAATTAGGAGATTTTTCATGTAATGCAGATACATTTCAATTAATATTTTATTAATTTTTAATTTTTTAATTTGAAATACTCTCAAACATGTAAAAAAAAACCCTATAAAATACTACAGTATATTATATGTACCCTTCACCCAATTTCTTAGGTGTTAATAATTTAAACATAACCATTATACAACTAACAAAATTTGGAATATATTTTTCTTATAATCTCTTTAATGTTATTTAACCCATTTACTTTGTTTTTGTTAATCTTCACCCAAGGATATTTTTCCATTGAATTTTAGAGAGAGTGAAGGGGAAGGGAGAGACACATTGATTGGTTGCCTCCTGCACATGCTCTGATAGGGACTGGGGATCAAGCCAGTAACTGAGGTACATGCCCTTGAGTGGAATCAAACCTGGGACCCTTCAGTCCACGGGCTAATGCTCTATCCACTGAGCAAAACAGGCTGCAGCTTAATTCATTTACTTTTAATATGTCTTTATATTTAAAGTGGGTTTTGTTTTTGATTCACCCTCATAATCTGTCTTTTAATTGGTGCATTTATGCCACTGACTTTCAGAGTGCTTACTGATAGAGTTATTACCATATCAGGTGGCTTCTGGGGCTGGCCTGCCCTGGATGGCGGTGCACTGGCAGCTGGCGCTGTCCCACCCTGCCTGCAGTATGCAAATTAGCCGCCATCTTTGTTGGTGGTTAATTTGCATATCGTGCTGATTAGCCAATGGGAGGCGTAGCAAAGGTATGATCAATTACCATGTTTGTCTATTATTGGATAGGATTTAAAGCAAACCAGGGACACCTCCCTGGTCTGAAGTGTTTTAACAAAGATGAGTGAAACTATTCCAAGGGTATCCCCTTACTTGAGAAAAGGCTAGGAATGTACATTTTAAAGATTAAACTATTATGTCAATTTGAAAACTATTCTGAAAGATACAGGGAGGGAGGGCAAAAGGAAGAGAAGCTAGAAGGCGGTGTGCTGTGTAGCCTCCTCCAGGTGAAAACCAGGTTTTGTGTCTACTGACAGTTGCTGAGTTGATCCAAGTGGGCTCAGACAGGGCCACAGCAGTGAATGGCCGGGGGATGCTGTACTGTGCAGAGCTGGCTAAGGCCTCTGAGTCACAGGTTCCTGAGAGCCCCGCCTCTGACCTGAACACCTGAGAACTCAGGTGAGGGAAAGGGGAGGTGCTGAGGACTCTTAGTGATCGCCTGTCCTGCCCTGTGAACATTTCTATTGTGTCCTGTGCACTGCCCTCCAGGGTCAGAGGCCAGGAGCCAATGATTTCGGATGATTACATGGAGCTGTGCTAAGGTTGACATGTGAAGGCTAGATGCTGATGGAGCACAGGGCACAGGCTTGGGTGTGCAGCACGAAGACGACCATTGAGAAACAAGTGGGAGATGCATAGAAAACCAGACTAAAATGTCACCAGTTCATAGCTATTATTGTCCCTTAAAAAACAGGATTATCGCATTAATAAATCAAAGGAGGAAGTGGGCTATGCATGGTTTATGGCCTTCCGACCATGGCGGCAGCTCTGGGACACTGCTACCCGGGGTGGGGGGCCACTGCAGCCCCAGGACAGCCTTTTGCTTTGCTACTTACTTGTCCTGAAAGGTAACCAGCAGGTGCAGCAGCATTTTTAAAGTTTTGTCAATGTCCTAGGGTGGTGAAGAAAAGGAAGACAGGAGAGACTTAATCACGGCACCACAGTCTTTGCTAAAACAGACCTGAAAAACCCAGCATGAATAAAACCAAGCAATAAATTATTTTCTTTCTACAAACGTGTTTTAAGGTGCTCAAATACTAAACTTGATCTTTCGGAAATAAATTCGAGATTTAGAGTTATGCCATTGTTTTCAGCCCCAAAATGGGAGAGGAAGATGGTAACTGTGTCATGTCCCAATGCTAGGGGGTGACTTCTCACCCTGCCTCACACAGACATAAAAAGGGAAGGCTAGAGTTTTACTGAAATGGAAGAAACAGGGAGCCTCCCAGTACAGTTTCTTCCTTTCTAAAAATTTCTTTATTTTTATTTATTTGTTGATTAATTTCAGAGAGAGGAAGGGAGAGGGAGAGAGATATAGAGACATCAGTGATGAGAGAATCATTGATCAGCTGCCTCCTGCACAGCCCACACTGGGGATCGAGCCCACAGCAGGACATGTGCCCTGACAGGAATTGAACCATGACCTCCTAGTTCATAGGTCGATGCTCAACCACTGAGCCACACTGCCAGGTGCAGTGCACTGTTTCTAAGTGTGTCACCCGCCAGGTTTCCCCGGGAAGAGGAAGCAGGGCTCTGCACGCTAACTTGCTGGGGCACTTGTGCCAAGCGAGCCCTCCAGCGCCTGCTGCAGGTGACGGACCTCCAGGTTTTTGTTGACATCCTTAAGTCCTTGAAGCCGGTAGTAGGTCCCCAGCAGACAGTCTAGGACATGCGCTGGAAAGCGAGTCAGGTAGTCAGAGAATTCCTGCAGGTAGGCAGCCAGGCTGCTCAGAGGCAGCAGACTGAACCAGGACCGGAACAGGTCTTCATCCACACTCAGCAGGTATTTCTTCTCTACCATGAGCTGGAGTAATCGCTTCCTGCGGAGGGAGAGCGGAGCAGGGAGAGGGCGGTGAGCACTGCAATGCCGACCACAGACCAGGAGGGAGGATCGAGGAAGCTTGGGTTTAAAAAATAATGTCAATGCTAAGACGTGGATCGAATGAAAAGGAAACAATAACATTAAGAATGCACCAACATGGATGAACCTTGAAAACATGATGTTGAGTGAAATAAGCCAGACACAAAGGACAAATCCTGTGTGGTCCCACCCACAGGGGCAGGAAGCAGAGGGAGGTGGCCAGGGCGGGGAGGGTGGGGAGTGAGTACTTCACTGGACGGAGTTACAGTTTGGAAAAGAGCTCTGGAGTGACAACTGCACAACAATTCGAATGTGCTTAATGCCTCTGACTGTGCACTTGAAGTGGTTATACTGGTAAATTCTAGGTTACGTATGTTTTACAATAAAAAAACACACTAAGAATCCACCATTGTTTCCAGCTCTATTGAGATGTAGTTGATAGATAACGTGGTATCACTGGAAGGAGTAACAATGTGTGGGTTTATACACTTGTACGTTGCATCATGTTGGCTGCTGACCTCCGAGGTCAATGCTCCTTCGTTTTCATTCCCCTTTAGTGGTGAGAACATCTAAGATCTACTCTCTTAGCAACATTCATGTCTGTAATGCAGCACCACTGACTCGTCCAGCACTGTGCTAGCTCCCGGAACCCACCTTACAGCTGGAAGTCTGTAGCCTCTGACCAACATCTACCCCTTCCCCCAGCCCCCAGACCCTGGTAACCAAATTCTACTCCATTTCTATGAGTTTGACATTTTAGGTTCCATAGATGCGTGAGATCATACAAAGTTTGTCTCTCTCTGAATCATCTCACTTGGCTTAATGCCCTGAAGGTTCATTCATGTTGTACGAACAATAGGACTGCCTTCTTTTTCAGGGCTGAATAATACTGCCTTTTATAGATACACCACGTCTTTTTGATCCATCCATCCCTTAACAGGCACTGAGGGTCTGCACCCCACCGATGCACACACACTGGGCATGGCATTACAGACAGGATCTTAAAAGGCAGCACCAGTGGGGCATGCTTGGCAAAACGTGAGCATTAACTTTTTGTCCTTCATCTGCATTTGTGTTTTCTTTGATTTCAACTGAATGTGTGCACTTAAACTGGATCCACCATTTTCCCTTGTAGATTGTGATTTCTGTGTTTCCTCTTAGAAAAAGCTGGTACTTCACACTCTGAAGATTGCTAACAGGCCATTTTTGTATTTTTCTTTGTATTATATGTTTCATATATTTTAAAGAAGTCATTTTACAAAAAGAGATGCATTGACTGTGTCCTAGAAGCAGGACTGAGTGTACCAGGGAGGTCCACCGAGACTCATGTGGGGAAGTGGAGCCCACCACTTACTCATGTGCCCTTTTCTTCCGAAACTCCGAGAAAGAGATTCCTTCGAGGGCTGCCCAGATGTTCTCAGGCTGAATCCTGGGCTCCCGTCCTGGGAGGAGTGGCCCCATGCAGAGGTGGAGCACGGGCAGGGTGCCCACCCAGAGGTCCACCCCCTGGTCCATGCTCCTTCCACACAGGTTCACCAGGTAGTCTTGCCACCTGGAAACGGGACAGAGACCCCTCTGTGAGCTGAGGGTGCCAGTCAGCTCACCTGTGGTCTGACGCCCCACCAAGAAGGGCCTGTGCCTCACACAGGGCAGGCAGGCGCACTGTGGGTGGCTGAGCAGAGTGGCTGGGCCAGGGAGTAGCAGGGTCCCATGGGAGATAGGGCGCCCTCGTGTGAACCCCAACGCATTGGGCACTGAAGAGACCTCCACTGAAGGCCCCCAGTAAACTGTTGGCGGCATTTCCATCTTCCTCGACAGCAGAGGAAGCTGAGGCTCAGGCAGCTAAGTCGCCCTGCCCAGTGCCATGGCTGGCTGGCTGGCACGTGATCCCAGGCCTCTGGTGGCAGCCAGTGTAAGTGTAAAGCAATTTCTTCAACGGCAGGTGCCTATAATCAAGTGTCTCCTACATCACAAAGCATCACTGCTTTCAGACTCGGGACACCTACACACTTCGTCCATCCACCACCACCCCCCTTGGTGAAAATGAACAGCACTCAGCTGGCTTGTCCATTCGTAAAACCCATCATGTTACCACTCACTGTTGTCAGGGCAGGCCAGCTAATATCAGCCTAGAGTTCAAGTCAGACCGCGGCCGAGCATCTGCATCAAGATGCCAGGGCCATCGGAGGGTGGAGTAGGTGCCCCCACCCGGCAAAAGGCAAGGCCCTCCATGCTGGCCAGACATTCACGCTTCCGACGGCCCTGGTCAGCACAGCAGCCTGTCTCCTGAACTAAACTCGGAGGTGGCAGAGACCCACGTTGCTTTTGTAAGCGTCCTGGGCTTGGGCTCCTACAGCCACTCATCATGTGATGTGGCACAGCACAGCCTCTGCAGAGCGCGTGTTCAACAGCTTATGTCAGAAAATGAGCATCTATGTCTGGGACAGGGCGGAGCAGTGATTCTCAACCGATGTGCCTCGAGGCTTTTAACACCTGCACCGCCTAACTATGGAGTCAGGGCCCTGGCTGCTTTCCCTGAGGTTGTCAGGTAAAAATGACAATAGTCAACACAACAGTAGCCTTCCGGTGAATGAAGCACAATCATACCTATTCTGTGGTAAGGTCAGCAAAGATATGCTTTTGGCATGCTGCAGAAATCCAGTCATTAATGTATCTGTGCCATGAGGTGAAAAGGTTGAGAATCGCTGGGCAAGAGGAATAAATGTTGAAAGACAACAGTGAGTGGTAACATTATAGGTAGTTTTTATTTCTTGTACGTTTTCTTCCCCTCTAGACCAGCACTTATTTTTATAACCAGATGAAAACCAGTAGAAATGGCTGTAAAATCATTTCTCTCTCTCTCCCTCTCTCTCTCACACACACCCACACCCACACCCACACCCACTACCTCTGAGATGTGCTAAAGATGAGGCTGAGGTCGTCGTAGAGGTCACCGGGGGAACGGGCGTTGGTGCACAGGAGGCCACACAGGGTGCCCAGGTCATTCTTGGAGAGAGAAAGCTTCAGCTCCTCGGCCACGTGCAGGGCGATCAGGCCCATTCTCAGTTTACTCCTCACGGGAAAGTCCGTGGGCAGAGGGTCTTCGCTCTTCTCCAGAAACAGTGCCATGTGCTTTTGCAAACACTTCCACAGGTATTTCCCCACCTGGCCCAGGGGAAACGGAGACAGAAGTGTGGAGGCGAACCCATCTGAGCTGCACCATCGCTGCGCCGAGGTCCACCTCACCTGAGCAGAGGCCTATGGCCCCGAGGGGCAGGGACAGCTCTGTGACCCGAGCACCCCCTCTCCGGGCCCAGCTGCCTGGGACCTCTGGGAGCTGCCCCCAATAATGGTGTCCGGAGACCCCAGCATGTGGAGGGGCTTTCAGGTAGGGCCTGGGTGATTACGACGGTTCAGTGGTCATCTCTTATGTGGGCCCAGATGTATCTCAGAACTACCCCGGCCCCACCACAGTGCAAGTGGAGAGGCAGAAAGGAGGGTTCCACCCCTTCTTCCTACTTGGTCTGGAGGCCAGGTGAGGAGGTGGGGCCAGGTGAGGGATGGAGCCAGGTGAGGAGGTGGGGCCAGAAGTGGGGGCTGAACCGGGTGGTAGGGGTGGGGTCAGGTGAGGAGGTGGGACCAGCAGTGGGAGGAGGAAGAAAATAGGAAAAACAAAGAATTCCCAAGAGGAGGTATTTGGAGAAAAGGAATGAAGGCCCACCTGCCCCCATCTGCACCTGCCCATTGAGTCTAAGGGTCAACTGGCCACTAGGAGGTGGGGTGACGCTGGCTGCTCAGAAGATGGAGGGAGTGGCTGCATGTGCCCCCCCTAAGCCTGTACCTGCTCCTTGTAGACCATGCGCTCACTGACGACAGAATAGAACTGGCGGAACTGCATGAAGAAGCTGTTCAAGTTGATGGTGCTCCACGTCTGCAGGATGCTGAGGACACGGTCCAGCATGATGGAGGCCGCCAGCTTCTTTTTTACCACCTCATTCCCCACCCATTCCTTGACATAATTCAGGACTTGCTCCGTGATTCCAGTGGACTTCATGCATATAATGTCATCATACTGATGCCAGTCTAGAGGGGAGAGGAGGCATCACAACCTGCCTGACCTGGACCCTCTGCCCTGGAGGCGGCTCTTGACCAGCAGGAGCAGAGGAGTGAGCCCAGGAAGGAAAGAAAGTACGACTAGAGAACTGTTGGGCAGGTAGCCAGCCTCACTCCCGGCAGATGTCCGTCACAGGTCAGCAGCACTGGGGCCGGCCTGTGGGGAGCCGGCTGGGTCGAGGACAGGCATGCAGATGTCATACAGGGGTAGGTGCCATCCAGCAGCCTGAATGTACTTTGAACATGTCTTTAGCAAGCTTGATGGCTCAGCAAATGTGGCACACGAGCCCCTTAGAAAATGGTCACTCGGTGGGTAAACACTTTATACTGAAACTGTCACTCACAAGTGAGTGAGCCCCACTCCGTAAGGGACTTAGTGCAAGTGCCACTGTCCCCGTACTGGGCGTCAGGATGCCCAACCCATGAAGGACAGTACAGGAGACAGGGCCTGGGCTGACAGACTCACTCACACACACACGCAGACACACTCACGCAACTGCATGCAGTGAGTAAAAAACAGCAAAGAAAAACACCAAAGGAAGATAAAGATATAAATAAGAAAAAGAAGACAAAACGGAGAATAGGAAATGAAGAGAAGAGTGGCTGCTACCACACAGTGGGGTGGCGGGTGGGTACCACATGGAAATCTCCTGGAAAAGGGCTGACGCGCCTCTTCCTGCTCCTGCCCTGCCTACCACTCTGCCCAGCCTCCTTCCTCCTAGCAGCTTAATGACAAATCCTTTCCCTTGTTTCCTTTCATACGTGAGTGCTCAGGCTAAACTGCTGAAAACTTGCTTCCAAACTCAGGTTTGTCACACAGGGCTTGGGTGGGGCCCCACTAAGCAGAAAGGACCCACATGGGTCCCGGGAGCCTTTGCCCACGGGAGGCCCTGCATGTGCCTGCGGCCACTGCCCACGGGACCTACCTCCTGAGCCCAGCAGCGACGACTTCAGGTGCAGGCAGCGGTTGACATCCTCGCTCTCCTTGTCCTGAATAGAGTCTTTGTTACCTATGACCACATACTTGTATGGAACGGGTCTGTCCAGGAGCCGCTTGGAAAGGATGGTGCAGCCTTCAATGAGGGCCCCGACCTGTTCTAAGGGTCTGTGAACAGAGGGGACACCAGCCAGTTATCAGAAAATCCTCTTAGAAGTTTTAGTTCTTCTGAAACCCAGCATGGAGTGCATAGCGAGAGCTACACATGGACGCCAGCTGAGGCCCTGTCCCAGACAGGACCGAGGGTCAGCGGGCCCTGGGGACACAGGACAAGTGCATTGAGGGGAAGAGCTGTTTGAAATATTCATTTTCAAAAAGCCTAGGATGTCATCAGTTTTGTTAAAAAGCACTGTCACGATAGATTTCAAAGAATGGATGTCAGTACATCCCTGCGGGGTTGCTTGTGAGCCAAAGACACTCACTTGGTGACGTGCAGCTCGCACACGTTGACGTTCCATTCTGGCTTCCCCAGCTCTTCTCCACCCCGGACAAATATCTGGTGCTGGTCAGGGTCGAAGCCGAAGTCCTTGGAAAGGATGGCGTGGAAGAACACTCTGACCCCCTCCCCGGGGCCTAGGGGGCTGCAAGAAAGCCACCAGGAAAATGACGATTAGCCCCCCAACTCTGTCTACCCAGCCATGGTCAACATTACAAACACTCACACATACTCATGCACGTGTAAGCACGCGCACATGCATAATCACACACCCATACTCACACACATAAAAAACACACACATACTCACATAGACATACTCACACATGGACAAACACACACACATACACATGCACACCCATGCACACACATGTGATCTGTGTTTCCTCACTGCATATTAAACACACACCCAGCAAAAATCAAGCACATTGACACTTCAAACCTACCACCTGCATTGTGGGTCCTCTCGCCTCCTCTCTACAGGGGTGGGAGGTGGGCATAGGGCAGGGGACAATCTGCCCTGGAAGTGCTGGGGAGGGGGGGAGGGGCTGGCTAGTGCTCTCCTAAGTTTTGTGAGGCCAGTGCCACCTCTGGGACCCCAGGGACTCCCCCGCCTCCCCCGAAACCTGGGAATGCCCTCAGTGAGGCGGGTGGGCACTGTGCCTGCATCTGTGGGGCAGGCCGCCTCATGGCCCCATGGCCCCCTGCGCCGCACACCCTACCTCCCTGGAACTTTCCAAGCATCAGCTTTCCACTCCTTCTGGTCCTTGTCCTTCAGGGCAGCCATGTTGCTCCTATGGCCCCTTTCAGGCTTCTTTGGCTAAAATCCCAACTTGAAAAACAAAAAGGAGGGATGATGGAGAAATCACCTACGGGTAGGCTGCACCAAGCCTTAATTTAAATTTTTTCACTTGTGATGCTGATGGAAAAACACCTATGGAGCTACATTGGTGTCAGAATAAAACAAAAGAAAATGGTCTAGTTAAATGGAATCATCCCGAATCTGGTTTATGGAAGAGACCTGACCCATTATTAACCTTTGGCAGAGGGTATGCTTGTATATTCCAAGAGAATTTTTCCAAACACGTATGGATTCCTGTTAGAAATATTAAACTGCATCAGGGATCTTGCCAGACTGAGGACCTTGCGCCTGGAGCCATAACATGCAGCTGCAGGCAATCAACCATCTCAGCCACAGAGAGTAGCGACTCCAAGCAGTCCACTGAAGATGAGGAGCAGGAGGAGGACAAGCCAGACAACAAACAGCCCAGAGACCACCTGGGGCATGGTAAAGTGAAGTATGGTAACAATTATCTCAGGTAAAAACTATAGTTTCATACTGGTTTTAAAAAGCACATTTTCCTTTACCTGGGAAGGACAGCACAGTTATCCCAAGGTCAGAGGGCTCCAGTTAATGTGTCCCTGTTGACTCAGAGTTCTGGAGACCCAAAACTGTAATTTAGATAACATGCCTAAGTTTAACCCAGGTTACCCAAGGGCTCTAGATAATGTGTTTACCCCAAACTGTAATTTAGATAACATGCTGTTTCTGCTTCTGTAAACTGCCTTTTTGCAAACGAGTTCCTCATTCCAAACCTTGAGACAGCCAGTTTAAAACTGAATTGCCATGGCCTAGAGCAAAGAATATCCTTACATGATATTATTCTACAATGTCATTAATAATTTATGATATTTTACAACAGCATATGGTACATTTATCCCAAACAAACTTACAAACTAATTCTTTGAATGTTTGGCAGCAATTTAATAAGGACATGAAAGGATTTAATCCCTTCCACTGTGTGGAAGGCCCCCTGGGAAGGCACTTGAGCATTCTGTATCGGCCTCTCTTGCCTTTTTGCCAAGAGGGTCCCTCTTCTCACAATCCAATTGCCTACAGCTGTTGCCTGAGTTCTCTGTTCATGTTGAGGTCATGGTGACTGCCCAATGGCGTGAGCTGGGCCCTCTCTGGAGAAGAAACCTGGGTTCCCCAAAATCAATGCCAGGGCCCCGCCAACAGGCGAGGGGATCCCAAGGCAGTTGCTGGGCATGGAGGCCACGGGGGCATAGGCTATCAAGGAGACAGAACCAAACCTCACATCACCCTGCTTGGCCCTGGAGGATGGCTGGTTAGCCAGAGACAGGTAAGATTCCTCTGGGAGGAACAACCTAAGACAGGCACAGTCGCAGAGGGGCCATCAGGAGAGAACTTGTGGGTCAACAGAGGTGGGGCACAGATCCTCACCCCCCCTCCAACTATGTAGGGGCTTGAACACTCGCCCCTTCTGAGGGAGGTCTCCTGCCCCCATGGCTGCTTCCCGCTTCCCATGCCCAGCTCAGATCAGGACCCAGATAACAGAAAGAGACTTGGCCCAGCTGAGATCGGGACCCAGACAACAGAGACTTGGCTGACAGCAGCTACCCTATATCTAAATCCAGCCTAACACCAGGAATGTTCAGGGCCTTCTCAAGGATGCAAAATAATCCTTTCCATTAATATTTACAGTGTAAACTAAGATTGTTGTTTGAGTATTAAATTTGACAGTAAAATAGTAGTCAAGTTTTCAGATTAATTAAAATTGGCTCAAGAAGTATTAACCAAAATTTTTATTTCATGGAAAAATTGCTTAACATGCAATGAACCTAAAGCAGTCATATTTTTGTGCAAAAAATTAAAATTTAAAGTTATCTAGACTGCATTATAAAAATTTTCCAAAAGCCTTCTTATAACTAAATCAAAAAAGGGGGGATAGTGAAAAAAGATAGTGGAAAAATGCCATGTAAGGAAAAATATCTTGTAACTAAATTACATCTAGAAAAAAAATTTTTTTCATTTGTAATGCTAACAGCAAGACACCCATGAAAAACATACGTGGTGTCAAAATAAGTCAAAGGAAAATCATTTGGGCAAATTAACCTTTGGTCGAGAATATGTTTGTATATTTTCAGAAAACAACTCCAAGACCATGTGGATTCCTGCAACAGAGAGGAATTATCAGGAATGCTCCAGCCATGAAGACAAGAGGAAAAACAATCCAGAGATGGAGGATGCTGACGACGCTTTGCCATGCTAGCAGTCAGCAGCTGTGTGTCGCTGCAAGTTGCCCAGGATCAAACCAGAGAGGGTCAGACCTGCATTGCCACCATTTGTCCACCATCCAGAACTGAAATATCATTGCTGACATGTACACATAAGGAACTGTCAGACATTCAAACTTTGACTCAGAACTGTTGGACATTGAAATTGGGACTTAAACATTTTTTGTTCTTATATGTTTATTCCTGGTCTGCAGATACAAGATTTTTTAAGGAAAAAGAAGGGGGAGATGTGGGAAACCACCTATTGTCTTCACTGGCAGAGAAGTGTAGACAGAGAACCCCGAAGGCTGGTTCCCTTTGAAGCCCTATCAAAGGTCAGAGCTGTGCACCACCTCTGTTAATCCAGATAATGGTAGCTGGAAGCAACGTCCCCACCTTTACTCATGTAAATCCTTATTGATAAGATAGTCTGTGTGTTACCGGAACTTGCCTGCCTAAGGGCTATACTATGGGTGTATCTCAAACCAAATAAAAGGTTGGTGGGGCCTGAGCACCAGTGGAAGTCCTTCCTCTTGAGTTGGACTTACCCGCCTGGTCCCCCAATATTTCCAAATTATCTTGTGTCTTTTCTCTTTCTTTTGTGTGCGGCTCCTCTTCCAGGTCCTGAACCTCAACCATGTAGGACGTACAGGCAGCTGCTGTAGGGACAGAACATGCTTCCTCCCACCCTCCCAAGTTCCTTGGCTGATCTAATAAGTTAATTGATATAAGATCAGATTAGCAAAAGAAAAGCCACATTTAAGAACTTGAACGCCTCCCCTCTACCTGGGAGAGAGGCCCAGGAAAAATGAGTACCTTGCCCAGAAGCCACCAGGGCTCAGGGCCAGACTGGCACCTGTTTGGTGGTGATCTTGAGGGCCTTGCTGGGAGGGAGGGGGCGACATGTTCCCTAACTTGTCTTTCTTCTCCAAGATGCTCTTCTTCCCCACAGACCAGAAAACCCCAGCAGGCTCCGCAACCCCAGGGAAGTGTCAGTCTCACCTGCCCAGGGCCTCAGGGCACAAATACCTTCTCTATTCAATCAGCTTCCAGACCTTTCCTTTCCCTTTATTTCCAACCACTGAACTGTGCTGGAGTGGGTTGGAGTGGAGTGTTTCTTTCTCCCTTCCTCTCTCTCTAAAATAAATAAAAATACACATTTAAAAAAAGAAAGAAATGTATTGTCCAGAACTTCACCGTCCCACGGAACCTTCCATCACTTAAGGTCTCCCTGGAAGTCCCACCTGAGTTCCCTGGGGCACTGCTGGAGCAGTGGGGACTCGGAGTAGGGAGGGGCACCTAACCCCCTGCCCCTCAAATACAGACTCAACTGGCATTTGAAGCCCTCCAGATGGGTCAGCCCAACATCATGCCTGGCAGAGCCAGCCACCCTCTCCCCAGGTCTAGGGCGGCCTGGGACTTGCCACCATATTCTCCTTCCATGCCTTTATCAGTTGCCCCAGACCCCGGGATCCTGGCAGGTCCCACCCACCCAGCCTGCAGCAGGCAGATTCCCTGAGCAACCCACCTCCCCAACTCTCCCTCCTGGTTTCACTTTCTATTCCTATAAATAGCGAGGCATGGCCATGGTGTGAGGAAGCGGAGAAGCCAGCAGACAGGAAGTACTGTGTGGTCCTGTGCTCTCATGCACTAAGCTCTGGCCCCGAGGCTTGGAGTGTGGGGTGTTCAGGGGCCAGCGGAGTCAGGCAGGGTCTCGTCATTCAGGCACAGGTGTTTGGCCCTGCTGTGCACCCCCACTGACTGACCAGGACCAGTACCTGCCACACCCACAGTCACCCAGCAAAACGGCCAATGGCCCCATCCACTGCCTACTGTGCTCAGAGGGAGAAGAGGGCAGCGACTGGGGTGCTGAGCATCGGGGAGGTGAGGGTTCTGCGTGGGAGTGACTGTGCCCTGCTGAGGACCTGAGGAGGATGGCTGCTGGAGGGAGCAGGACCTCACCACCCCAATGTGTCTTTGCCCTGAGGATTATTTTAGGCTGATTACCTTTCAAAAACAAAAGACCCAGGATGGGCCTTTTACCTCCCCCTGAACAGCCTAAAAGAATTTAGACCGAGGGCCTGGTGCAGGCCAAGCAGGTGCAGTGTGGCATTTACAGGTTGGGTCAGGTTTGGGGAAGGGGTGGAGCCAGCAGGGCCTGCATCACATCCTGTTGGGCTCCTAGGGAAGGGGTGGAGCCAGCAGGGCCTGCACCACATCCTGTTGGGCTCCTACCTTCTCTTCTTCATGTGCCTGACCAGGAATCAAACTGTGACCTGGTTCACAGGTAAACTCTCAAACCCTGAGCCATGCCAGCTGGGCAGGATTTGGTTTTATTTTGTTGAATCGCTGAAGCCCCAGAGACCCCTTCCCTCCCAAGGTCCCCACCCACCCAAGTAGATGTTCTAGTGAGCAGGGGTGAGGAGCCTGGTGGGTGGGAGGTCACATTGGGGTGGTGAGGTCTTGCTCCCTCCAGCAGCCATCCTCCTCAGGTCCTCAGCAGGGCACAGTCACTCCCACGCAGAACCCTCACCTCCCCGATGCTCAGCACCCCAGTCGCTGCCCTCTTCTCCCTCTGAGCACAGTAGGCAGTGGATGGGGCCATTGGCCGCTTTGCTGGGTGACTGTGGGTGTGGCAGGTACTGGTCCTGGTCAGTCAGTGGGGGTGCACAGCAGGGCCAAACACCTGTGCCTGAATGATGAGACCCT